GATAGTAAAATCCAATATATTGTCATGGCATATGTCACTTCTTAGTAACAGTGAACCAGAAGAGCACAAAAACTAGGTTTTAAGCACAATAATTATTTTAACACTATATAAGGAAGTGCTTAAGCAGCTGAGGTTTAGCATTGGTTTGTCCTTTAAGAGCAAAAAAAATATAGAAAAAGGTAGTTAGAAAGCTTATCTTTTATTCTTTTTTTCAGGGACAACACAGTACAGTAGGACTGGGGAAAAGAAGAATGATGTGATATGGTAATACAAATTTCACAATATTTTGAGGTCATCTAGCAAAAGGTTAACAAAAGCAAAACTATTCAAACATTCCCACCCATCAGAAGGATAGAAGTGATGTCTTCCTAGTTCCTTCTGGGACACCCAAAGGACACCACTTATGACACTAACGCATTTAAGTTTTCCTTCATTTTGAAGGGTTTCCAAGTACCACTCATCAAAATACCTCTGTCTTAAGGGTCCTTTAACCCCATCACCATTTCCAGACATTTACTGCCACATATTACTTTAAAAAAGGGAACTTCATCCCTTGTTCTCCATTGCTCACTCTTCCATTCTTATTCCTCCAAGATGCAGAAGTCGTTCCCTGTGTACGTGGCCTGCACTGGGTCCCTACTCACACACTCACATCCCCTGTACCAGCAGTCCAGGCTTTTTCACATCTTTCTTTTTGACTTTCTTTGGAACTAAGTCTGCATGATGGTAAGTAACCGGTGAAAATACAAATAAGCAAGAAGGCTCTGTTAACTTCCACACCGCTGCCTACTGGGGACATCATCTCTGATTATATCTGACCTCTACAAATGTAGCTGCCTGAAACACTGGTGGACCTGGGCTTGTTTCTGCCCACCAGACAAGGTGATTAGTCCCTCAGTGACACCGTCTCTTTACGAAATGACCTTGCACTACTCAGATTCGTGCATCTGGCTGTGTTTGATTGCTGTTTGAACTGGAGGTCAACCTAAAGCATATTTTCCTCTGTTCTACAGATAACATCTCAATTCTCACAGATAATTGCAGTTCACAGTTGAGTGGTCAGACCGCTTTCTCCAAGACTGCAGTCCTTTATGCATCAAAACTACCAATAAATTTACACTTTAAAGGGAAAGTAAGGAATTCAAATTTCCTTATTATATCAATTCATTTACTCAAGAGTTTCAGAAGTAGGAAAGCTATTTAACTCATATAAATTTTGTTCCAAACGACCAAATGAAGAAATACGAAAAGGGAAAGACTTAATGCTGTCAACCTGTCATTTCATTTTTGCATTCCAAGCATAAAAATCAATAAGAAAAAGTCATAGTCTCCTCCTGTTTTAATCTAAAAGATACTTCCAGTAGACCACCTAACATAGAGAGAAAGGTCCACAGTACTTTTGCAAGATGAAACAGAAAATATAAATAATGAACTTAAAAATGTAATTTAATTTCAATCTTAAAATTCTCCTGCATACAATAATATATTTATTTCAGGTCTGCTGCACTTAACTGACACTATTACATTAAAGAGCTGTCCTATGAAGCACCCTGAATACGTCACAATTTTGATGGTAAAACATCTCCTTTGTGCAGCAGGGACTCCAGTTCAGGTACTTCTTCCAAATACAACAGCAGAAGATCCTGAACCCACACCTGCCAGGCTCCAGGTAAGTGCATAACTACTGAGTTATTAAATAGTATGGATCTACCCCTTCTCTCCAGATATCATTAAAAGCCAAAACTCTGAAGTGTCCTTTGTTTCCATTGATTTCCTCTTCTCCTGCATGTGCATATCAGACTGATGTAGCACATGTAGAACATGTGCCACCTGCTCTACAGTTTCATCTCCTGTATTTTCAGAACACCTGACTACCATTCACCTAAAATACTAGGACTGAGCTAAGATATTTTCACATTTCTAAAATTTCAGAGTCTATAAGCAATAACGAAAGCCTGGCAACTGAATGTCTCAAACAAACACTTATTATGCTGGTGTTTTCTGAACTGTTATTTTAGATACAGTACCTCACAAAGATTTCCATTCTTATTCACTGAGACCCTTAAAAACAGATAAGAAAGGATGGACTTTGTTTCATTTTGTGGTCAAAATGAAGCATGTTTATCCATGCTCTTACCAGCTATTTTTGCAAATACTTTTTCAGAGCTCTCTTGGAGATACTCATATGCCCATGTTAATAAGAAATCTGCAGTTTGGTAAACTTCTATCCCAAAATCACTTAAATATTGTCTTGGGTTTAGTGGGATACTGTAAAATTTAATGTTACCCTTTACTTCAGCATAAGAAGTGAAAGAGTAATCCCCTCAGCTCCACTAGGGTTTTAAAACAAAATAAATAGTAAGCTTCATTTCTATAGCATTTTCCTATTTCAAAATAATAGCTGAATTTTTTTTGTAAAGAGGGTGTATGTAGCAGTAAGAAACTGAAGACCATATTAAAGCCCTTATTTCTCCCATGCCTTTTTAAACATCATCTGATTAATTCAAGATGATCTTCCACAACTGATTGTGACCAATCTGCAAAGGTAGATGGATGTTCCCATCAGAGGAGAGGACAGTCAATCCAACAACTCCTGCTAGGCAGCAAAGGGAGGAGGAATTCACCTCTGAGGAACATGCAACTCTACCAGCACAGTTCTACACAGAAGAGTGGAAGGAAGGACGCAAGAGAATTTCAAATGCATGGACTCTTCTTGGAGAATATGATTTAGAGATCAAACTGTGCTGCAAAGGAAGAGAAACCGAGCACTTCCTTCATTACAACAACAAATATTTAGGAAGATCTCCAAGCAAAGGTTTAAGTGCTCTTCCTGTCTGTTATGGACAAATGGCTCAATAGCTCACCTCAGATTAAAAGCAAAACTTGACCCTGACTGCAAAAATGTAGCAAGAATGACCAAAATGTTTATTATGCTATTGAATTTAGACTCTAAGTTTGTTTTCTATTTCATTCTCTAATTCTCCTAATTCTGGAGCTCAACCTGGATGTCTGAAAACATGCAACAACATAATATGGTAATTTTTCTGTTCCCAACAAAATACAGAAACAAAGAAAAACTTTAGAAGACATCTTTGCAAATGAACTTACATTCTATCATCAAAAGTAGTCTGTGCTCACAACTGGTGTCACAATTACCCTTAAGAAGGCATTAAAGATATTTATTCATCCTCTTTTCCAGCTCATTCAGGAAAAAATATCCATCCCTCCAAGGAAGGATGATCTTGCAGCTATGGGAAATGGGAGCTCGACTAGTACTTCAAGTGGATTATCTGCATGAAGTCACACAAAAATATACTTAAATCTTATACTTTATCTGTCTGAATTGTTAAATGGAAATGCTAACATATGGTTTGAGTTGGCCTGGGTGACTTCCTGAGGTCCCTCCTGACCTAAATTTTCTGGTGATCCTATTTGCTTTGAGACACAGAGGATGAATGAGAAGGGCACTCAGACATTATGGGGCTGATTAATGGGGAAAATCTCAGATAAGTATCTTAATATTTTTATGTTTTTAATGCATAGCTTTTTACTAGATTTTTATGGAGGGAAAATCTTGTCAAAATGCTCATGAACTCTGTGTTTTTCAGAAGTGTCATCTATGAGATCCAGAGGAAAACAACATCCTGTTCTGGATGATATGGCAGAACCTGCTGGTTTATGTTGTTTTTTTAGAAAGCCAACAAACTGAAAAACAACTAAGCATTAATTTTGACTACAAATTTTTTAAGTGGCACTATAAAACCAAAAAGCCTTTCACTGAATATTATGTGCAAGTTAAACTCCCAGGCAGGTTAAGAAAAAAATCTTTGCAGACAGACTGATGCCAACATGAAATCATGAACAAAAAAAAGAAGCAGCACTTGTCATCTTGCAATGCAGATCATCCAATTTATTGCCAGTTTTTCACCAATGATAGAAAAGATTCTGTTCAGCATTACTGGATATGCTTCTTTATTATATTAATGTTCAGCATTTCCTTGAGGAGTCATTCCCTTTCTCTTTCAAAGCAGTAACGTCTTTCCAAGAAGTTCAAGGTTCTAGACTCTGTATTTCTGAAGGGCCTTCACTTTAAATCACTGGCCAGTATTAAATTCTCAGTTTCTCCAGATTATCCTTCTCTCTTACTACTATTCCACTTAAATATGAGGAAGAAAAAAACCCAGATAAATATACCTCGACTTTCTTGCTGTGATATATGTCAGGCTCAGATTAAAGAACAACTATTTTTTTCAAAATAATTCACTATAAATTGAGTGTAATGCACAAATGCAAATGCTGAAGACACAAACATGTATGTGCATTTACAACAGATCCTCAAGGAATTAATTAAGAAATTAAAGGAATTAAAAAGCAATACCAAAATCCCCAAATCCCCCTTATGCATAAATTTGATTTCCCTGCACTTTTCTTTCCTCACCACAGTTTTCTATGAACCCATTTCCTAGATCACATTATGACCCAGAAGTATACCCGTACAAGGATATAACAGAACATAAGATACCACATCCTCACTATGCACTGCACATTCCCATAAGTATAAAGCGCTTGCAAGCATGACAGTAAAAATATTTTAAAAAATAAATTGCTAGCAGGTAAGATGTTTCTGTGTCTAATGCAGAAGATTACTTCTCAGGGTGATGCTGGGTCAACAACCTCTTCCTCTTAAGATACATCCTCTTCTGCAATTACCTCAGTTACAGCAGGTTCTAAAAGCAAAAACATTAAAAAAGAAATACAAAGTCCTACTCTGCACATGGTCTCAGTTTCTGCTACTAATGTCTTTAATTTTCTAGCAGATCTCTCAAATAGGGGAGTTGTGAGTGACTTAGGACTGCCTGGGCACGAATACTAGTCTTAGCAGTTCGTAGTGCTATTTACGAAACTTGCATCTAATATCCCATTAAAAAAAAAAAAGACATGGAAAAAAGGGAAAAAAGCTTAAAAGAAAACACGGCAAAAAAACCTCCAACTCTTCTTACCTTGCTGGAGGCACATCAATATTTGAAGAAACAACCTTGCGCTTCTGTTCCAGAAGACAAACAGAACGAGTGTTTTCCTTTTCATACTCATGAGCTCTATTTAGTTTTTTGGTCTCTGCTGTTTTTAAATCTTCCTCCTTTGTGGTAAACAGGAGAAACTGTTGGTCTGGCAGTTTTTGACTGATGTCACTTTTTACATCCTCCTGTTGAAATGCAGGGAAGGTCATTTCACGCTTGATGTTGGCTGCCTGAAAAATTGAAAGCAATTATTAAATTTTCCTCTAATTCTCCTAAAATGTAAGGGGGGGGGGGGAAATCCAATACCCACAGGCATTTATTTCTAATTAGTTCTCTGAATTAGTGAATACCATTTGTTTGCCCTTCATAAATTCAGACACTGCCATTAAGTTCTCAACAGTGCTGAAGACTACCCAGGAAAACAAGCAATTCTAGTCCATTTGATAAAGCAATCATTTACCTCTCAATGTTAAATGAAAAAGGTATTTGAATCAGTATTTGAATTAGAATGTTGGAAACCACATTACATACAACATATCTTTAATGTACACACATCCATGCTGCATAACTATGGAAAAGAAATCGTAGCTGCCCTCCTAAAATTCCAGAAAAAAGTCAGACTTTATCCACATAAAAGGCAACCAAGAAACTAAGGTGCTTCTCAGAGCCACTTACTGGATTCTTTTGTAAATGAGCGTTTCTCAGGAGCAGAAAAATAATTTGCTATGATCCAACTCAGCTGTCAGAAGGCAAAGGGGAGCGAGTGATATCAGCAGGATCTCCATAAGGAGCCTGTCCAGCAATGAGGAGCACTCTCTGCTTACCAGCACTTCCCAGATCTTCAGGTCTGCTGCTTCCCATAAGCAAAGACTACCAAAGCAAATAGGTAACTTAACAAATACACTACCTCTCTGGACTACAATGTGTTGGTGTTTATAAAGCAAACTATTGCAGGGTTGCACTGAAGAGCCTGGAAAGCCATCAGAACCAAGCCACTCCATCTTCCCAGCAACCAAAACAAAGCCCAGGATCTAGATTTTCCTCTGAAATGCCATTTCCTGGCCAGCTACACTCCCCAGCTTCATGAAGGCAGGCCCATCTGGCAGACAATGTCTCTACCCAACTCAAACAGCCAAGCAAAATATGGCCTGGCATAATGGCCCACCTTGAACAGAGGCACTTCCACGCAGGTAGTGCCACATACGCTATCTCAGACAAATCCAGGCACCTTCTAGGACTGGCAAAGTGGATTTTCAAATACTTGTAAATTATTGCTGATCTTTATGGTAGAGATATCCATGCTGTGTTGCCCTCAGATAGTAAGAGCATCAATAAACTGAAATTCCTACGTCAACTCTTCCCCCTTATTCCTCCTTTTCATCATCTAAAAAAATTATTCAATGTCCCTATGTATATATTTATGCATAAAGATATATTCCTCCCTCCATAAATCTCTCTCCATAAATCTTTTATATCTGGCAGGTATAAAAATGGTGCAAACAATTTTAAGTTCAAAGGAAAGACATTCTTGCCAAGGTAATTTTGTTCAGTTCGGTGACGTATATTGAATCACTAACGCATAAATACTTAAGGCTGATGATTTAATTGCTTCTAGTGCTTCCACTGAAGGGCTTTTAGCAGTTTCTTCAAGAACAAAACAAGAATTGTTACTTTATGAATGTAAATAGTAGAAAGAATTAGTCACTTTACACTTCTTCACACACAAACAGATGACACATTACTGGGAAAATCTGTCTGGAAGACAAAACAGTCAGCATGTGATCATACAGAATTAGAAGACATATAAATAAGATAAATTTAATTCTGATTTAATTTATTTTTTAAAAACTTCTTAGATTCACAATAAGACCTTTTCTCAAAGTCTGAAAATCCTAACACATATGGAGATGCCTTCGACTTTCCTGAAAATTGACTTAGAAGTGATGTCCTGAAGTAAAAAAAAACCCTGAAAATATCCAAGTTCCAATATCCAACTCTATAAGTGTCTTCAATTTATAAAACTGTAGTGTTTTACTCAGTTTCAGCAAAAATACTGTGTCATACATTATTGAGTTTTCTTTACAGACCTAATAGTGAGGACAGAAGGTTGCAGGCTTAGACTACAGCTAAAGCCTAAAACATAAATAACAGAATGTTTGTACTGTGATACCAGATAATTTGTTCTTATATATCAAATGTATCCACATCCAGTTCAAAATACGTTCAAACAACACCTTAGTTTTTCTATGTCAATGTGCCCTAATTAATAGCTGGCCCCATGCAGGCATATGGAAGTCAAGAAAGACAAAAAACAAAGAAGTAAATGCTGAAGTTGCAGAGCTGCTGCCAAGCAGTTTGGATTCTTGGGCTAAATGGCCAGAAACAGCAGAAGACCAAACCCATTGCTTAGACTAACTCTCTTCCTTTCCTTCAGTTCTCAACAGATGTTTGGAAATATCAGCCTCTTTCTGAACTTTCCCTTGAGAGCGACTGCATATAAAGAATCTTTTCTGCTTTAGAAGCAGATGATCATGAGAGAAAGCCAAGAGTTCCCCTTGGTGGGCACTCTCCAGTAGCTTTCTCCTGCTCCACAGGCAGTTTTTCTATTTTAATTCATCTATGTCTATGGAAGCCATTTCCACTTGAGATACCTGCCCTGTCTGGAAGGGTATGGGAAGTCTTTTGCCAGAAATACAACCATCTACACAAGCAGCCATTGATGTGGGGAGTGCTGAGGGCCTGATCACTTGAATGATCAGGCTCCTCACTTTCTGGCAAACACACCGATTAACGACCAGGACTCCTTTGATTTCAAGCTCTCACAGTTCCGAGATTAACACGGAAAATTTCCAATATATTTTTTCAGATAAACTGACTGTCCTGTCATATCTTATCAGTAAATTTTTTTTCCACAGATCCTTCATATTCTTTTAACCTCTTTGAGGCTTGTGGTGGCCCTTTAAGTCCACAGTGTTTCAGCAAGAATTTTGTGGAAGGTCTAGCCCAACCTGACAGCCTGTCTTACAGACAGACAGATATTACCACTGTAACACCAGTTATGTAACACCAATTTATTTCAGTTTACTGCCAGTACTTCACATTCTCTCTCCTTTGCTGTTCTCGAACTTTGACTCTGTTGTTCCCTAATGGTTTGGCTTTTCTTGTCATACCTCTGGAATTGCCACCTTATCGCCTCCAGTATCAACTGCTGATAAAAACTTAGGTCTTTTTCATACACTTGATGAATTATCACTCATACAAGCCACTTTATAATAGGTTGCTTTTCTATGCAATTCATTACGTATTTCCACCCTTAAGCCATCAGCAACCTTCAGTTTATTTTCAGCTGAGTCCTTTGCAACCTGGCCTGGGGCAACCAACATCACTTGGAAGTTCAGTCACAGAAACAGGAGTTATAAACCACCAGCAAATTTTAAAAAGTAGTTTTATTTCTCTCTGCAGTTACCCTCACCTGCCTTTGACAACTTCCACCACTACTGGGCAAGAGAAACTTTAGTTACGCCACCACTTGGAAGCGACAGCTCAGGATTACCTGTGCCTTCTGCGCTGAAGCTCATGCATGGGGCAGTGCCAGAGCTGGGGTCTGATGTGGCTTTACTCCTAAGTAAAAGCCACTTCTTGCTTTGGTTTCTAAGTAAAAACTTTATTACAAAAGCCTTTCAATTCCTGTTTTGAAGTTGTCAAGACAATGGTATATATTTAGATTGAGGGTTTTATTTTTAAGCTACAGTTCTTGCTTGCTTCGCTATTATTAAATGGCAAAATTTAATACTCTATGTGACAGCTAAATGATTACCACAGTTAATATTTTCAGAAGTATATTAATAATTTTTCATTGCAAAAACCATCCTTAACTGCCTATAGAAATTTTATATGGTGGTATCTTGTCATAACCAAATTGTTAGTACTGAACACCACATGCCCCAATCGGGACCATGTATTGCAATGTAAGTCCTGCCCTAAATGAGCATGATTGACATTGACACAAATTCTGAGGAATTTAAAGAAATTTTTCTTTATTCCTTACAAAGGATGTACAGGCTGCAATTTTTTAGTAGTTTAGGCCCTAACTTATCTGCAGTCAATTTCTGGTATACCCAAAAGCACATCCTGAGAAGATGCTGACGTTGCAGTCAAACTTCAGTCTTCTCCAATTTCACCTAAATTTCAGCTTGGATTTTGCCCTGAACAGCAAAAAAAATATCGATCAAACAGACAACTCAGCCATTGCACTGCCTATTCAAAGGATCAGCAAACACTACAATAAGTAGACCTATCACATTTATATGCAAACACAGAGACTTAGATTTGACAGACTATGTATGTCATTCCTCGAGTACAACCTGACCGGACTTTATCATCTTCCCTTGCTTATGGTGCATTGCTACTTAAAAACTCAAGTAGGTTATTTTCAAACAGTTCTCTAGCCTTTAACAGGCATTAAGATGTCTGTGCTTCTTATACAATGGAAAGTATTAAACTCCCAAGAGTATTAGCATTATTTGCCTCTATGTGACCCAAGTGTATAGAAATATGTCTTCAAATGGGAAAACTGACTCCCACCTATGTTCTTTCCTTTTTTTTGGTGCAGTACCTGTGTATTCAGGTGGGCACACAAGGAGCAGAAAGCTAATTTTTAAAAGGCTTTGTAATGGTTTACACAGACAAAGTGTATTACAAAAAACTAGTGAAAGAATTGCCACACCACTTACCATGCCTACTTTGCTGACTGTTTTGCAAACAACTCAAGGGCTGATTTCCCAATGAGGAGTCAGCAGTGGGTACTGGATCTGATGGAAGTGCACAGGCAGAAAGCAGCTGCCCAGTGCAAAGCATTGCTCCCAGAGCAGCACTGCCTCCCACTCTGGGACTCGATGCAGCCCCTTCCATGAAGCTACATCAGTTTACACCAGTTGAAGAACATGTGATTGCATCGGCCTGCCACGAAACAGGACAGCAAACACAGGCTCAGCAGAGAGAGGCTGGCACCATGCTGTCAGGCAGCAGGACAGCAGTGAGAGCCCAGCAGGCTCCCTTAATCTTCTGGAGGAATACTGGCTAACTCTGGTTTCTCCTCACTCTGTCTACAGGGATTCTGGAAGGACTTAGATGCCTGAGAAAGTCCCCTCCATACACAGTTTGAATCCTAGAGACACAGGCAAATTAAATAATTTTGCAACTGTGGCCTACTTTGTGCCATTATGTTTTG